ATTGAAAAGCGACTAAGGCATACTAAGATCAACGTGCCAGCCGATTATATTTCCATCTGTAAAAAAGCTTGTGTTAAATCGCCGTATGTTGTAAAATATTTAACTTATGAATTTTTCAAAAATTTTACTGAAATATCGTTCATAAAGTCAATACGACCTGGTAGACGTGTTGGAGATCCTGTGGTCACTGATATTAAAGCTATGAAATACACTCCGCAAAACGCACTTATGTATAAATTACGCCACACTACAGATTGGGAGCAACTACCTCTATGTAGACAGCATAAAAACATCGACAACCCCGTTGGATTTTCCGAATTGCCGCAGTTATACCTTGAAAGACTAAAAATTAAGGAAGAGAAGTTTCAACATCTACAACTACTTAAAGGTTCAATTGAATCTGATTACCACTCTTTTTTTGATAACTTGCCTTATCGTTAATAATAACCTATAGATTAGTAATAACTTTTCTTTTGCAATTGTAAAGTTTCTTAATAAATTACGAATTTATATAAATAATTACTTTTATTTTCATCAAAACCTTAGGGGGTTGCAATATACGTAAGTCCCGATTTTTAGGAGCATTTTTATAAGAAAAACACGTAACTCCTCTTATTACTTAAATTAATATGAAAATCATTATATTTCTTACATGATTTCAACCCTTGTTAATTTTAGATTTTTTTTGTATCATTTGTTTTATACAACGTTTTGGTTATGAAGTCGTAAATAGTTTTTCACGCCTCCTGTAAAATTTACCAAAATGGAGTTACATGGTTTTCGTATTAGGGCGACGATATTTTTGTTCTTCAGATGCTAGTTGTAAAATTAACGTTTTAATATTAGTTTTGTTGGGCAACCATCTTGATCGACATCTTCAAAATTTCGCATTTTTTACGAAATTTCGTTTCCCGTATTATTTTATATAGTTTTATAGAATTCTGTATTATTTTACAGAATTCCGTATTTTTTACGGAAAATTAAAAAAAGCAGGACTACGCTTTCGTAGTAAAAGAAAGTACGAGCAAACATATAAATTATAAGTTATATAAGCAGGGGTGTACCAGTAAAGGTGTCCGAAATGTGGCATCAGGAAATGCTTTACTAGCATACTTTAACCCATAATGTCCAAGCGTGCGTCAACGCAACATTAGAATTATTTTTTTTAAGTACTATACAGTGTGTCCCCGGATGGGCTGAACAAGAGGGAAAAAATTTTTAATTTTAACTTTACGCAAAAATGTCATTATAAATTATAAAAATGTTTGCTTGCCTCAAAACCACCTATTCTGAAATGAAAATCTAGATATTCCTTTTAGCAGCTGAGAAAATTATAAAAAACGCAAAATCTACAGCGGAATTTTTTCTAAGTTGCATGTTTTTGATTAAATCATTGTGTCTTCCATGGCGACTTTGCACGAACTTTCTACTTTCCTAACTCGGTTACGATTGAATGAATGGCGCAGTTTTTTTTTTATCAATCAAAAATACCGTTAATGACTTGGTGTTTCTTTTTTTAAATTTTTCTCTATAAGATATAACTTATTAAAAAACATTTTACTCAGGCGGCATACATGATTAAATAAAAACAAAGAACCAAAGTATAATACAATAAGAAATTAGTAAGCAGATCAATAATTTTTTTGCAATGAAATATGCAGTATTCCGAAAGTCGTGCTGAGGTATTAATTCAAATAAACTAACATTTCCCATGGCCAAAAATTTAGGTCCCGTGCATCACTTATTTCGCGGTTTTGCAACAGAATCGATGCGCAATAAATCATTGATTGTGCATTTATTATAAATGCAAGATTTTACTCAAATTTGGACATCATTTATTTGAGGAAATTCTTTCTTGTCCAATTAATAAAAGATCTACGTCTACAAAATAAGAGTGTTAACTTACCCTAGCCGCGATCCTGTCAAAACAGTCAAATGAGAGGCTAGTAACAAGTTATTTTTATTTTTTTAATGCACCGCAAATAGCTACATTTGTTAAATACGATTACCAGCTCCGTGAAATGTGTGGTTTGTGAACGGCGGGTAGTAAAGGGCAGGTGAAAACCATTTTGTGACCCGCAATGCAATAAAAGGCTTATCAAATACGGATATACGATAAGTCGAAAAAGCCGTGAAGAGTATACGCTTCAATAAAGAAGGGACATTGAATTCATAATGTACTGTGGTTGAATATGGCCTTTATTGGAATGGACGAAATTGAACATAATCGATAACGAACGCCCGACGGAAAGAAAAAGAGGAAAAATTAATGATGTTAGATAAGTTTATTATGCCTGGCACCGAACTGAATTCGTCCCAACCACAGACCATAAGATTATACATTACACTGTTCATGAATAGAAAACACGAAAAACCTGTCAGAAAAGTGGATATCAGATATTATGCTCGCACGAAATTAAACGAATGACGGGACGTAAGAAAAGATTGGAACTGGCTTTATTAAATATGAAACGCAACCTCACAAGCATAACACAGGTGATTAAAGGCCGGTCTTTCATGTGTCTGTGAAACTTAGCTGAGAGTGAATGACAAAGTTGTTCAAATATAGTTAATTAATTAATTAAATAGTTTTGATAGATCGGCATTGTGCGAAAAAAAATTAAAAGTATAAATTTACACTGAAAGATCATCCAATTTTTGTAGAAAACACTAAACACTAAAGTAGTAGTTCTGCATTACTCAAAAAAGATCGCGTATCTGCACTAGTTTACGTTTAAGTTGAATGTAACACAGAATGTGCACTTTTCTAAATCGATTACATGATCAACATATACTCGTACATATCCCCTCTCCATCCAGCTCTTCAAGTAATACATCAAGCGGAAAGGAAGATTAATCAAACTAGGAGAACAACTAACTACAACTTTAACAAGTTAAAAAGTAATCGTAAACGATTTACATAAAGCGCATTTCCGCAATCCGTTATTGACGTGCTACTTCAATTTCAGTTTATGAGAAGAATTTCATTTCAATGCTTTTCTAAATAAGAAAGTTGGAACTGCGCATGCGCAAACCTAAATTTTAAAACTAATGCTAGATTTTCCTTTGTTCCAAGCGTCTAAGTATCAAATTTCACTTAAATGGTGCCATAGATAAAAAAGTTGGTACTGCGCATGCGCAAAAGAAAATTTTGAGACTGGCGCTCGATGATCCTTTATTCCAAGTGCCTATGTATCACATTTCATTTAAATTCTTCCATAAATAAAAAAAGTTGGCACTGCGCATGCGCAAAGCCAAATTTTGAAACTGGCGTTTGATTTTCCTTTATCCCAAGTGCCTATGTATCAAATTTCGTTTAAATTCTTCCATAAATAAAAAAGTTTGCACTGCGCATGCGCAAAACCAAATTTTGAAATTGGCGTTTGATTTTCCTTTATTCCAAGTGCCTATGTATCAAATTTCGTTTAAATTCTTCCATAAATAAAAAAGTTGGCACTGGGCATGCGCAAAACCAAATTTTGAAACTGGCGTTTGATTTTCCTTTATCCCAAGTGCCTATGTATCAAATTTCGTGTAAATTCTTGCGCAAATAAAAAAGTTGGCACTGCGCATGCGCAAAACCAAATTTTGAAATTGGCGTTTGATTTTCCTTTATTCCAAGTGCCTATGTATCAACCCAGCAAACACGATTGCGTATTTTAAATGTAACAAATACGTATTTCTGTTTCATGTTACGTTTTGTGTAACGTATCGAATAAGCGACAAATACACTTCAGATACGTCCTATGTCCGCCTGCGCCACATAGAAAACGTACATCATGGTTACGTAACTATGTTTCAATTCAGATACGTTGTATCAAACGTGTTTGGTACGTAACGGAAGTTCATCATAGTTACGTTAGTATGTTCCAATTCAGATACGTTGTATTAAATGCACTTAGTGCGCAATGGGAAGTTGCATTGGTTGCGTATTTGTTTTAAACAAACTTGCGCAAGGGTTTCATACCTTCACCGATTGATGTATGTATCAATTACGTTTCATAATCCTTTAATAAATGTACCCGTCTGCAAAATGTGCGTAGCAATTATATCACAGTTGTTTTAACAATAACGTATGTGTTACATAGGTTTGTGGAATAGACAAAGGCACCAATCACAAAATAAACTTTAAGGAACTCTAATACGCGTTTCAACAGAACTGTTGTCATCACCAAACTGACCACTGATGATGACAGCATTGCTGTTGAAATGAGTTCGATATCCTTAAAGCTTGTTTTGTGCTTATTGGCGCATTTTCCATACAGGCTATATGGTCACAAGTGTTCTAGATCTTAAAAAAAAATCATTGTTATATTATTACTGAATAAAAGTAGCACTTAATTTAAACATATATATTAAATAACAGTGCTGGAATGATGCAGAAAAAAATGGCACAACAATCACTATAAAGTAACATAATTCAATGTACATATAAATGAATATGATACATGCATCCAATATATACGCGTAATATCAACAAAAATTTTGATACATAATCTAGTAACATATATACAAGAAATCACATAAGATTATGAAACAATGGGAACCAATTCAGTAAATAAATGAATATTGTACATTATACTACCAATAATAAAAACCCTATACATATAATCAGTCCAATTCTATAACTTGAAATAACCTTAGCAACTTGCTAATAGTGAAGGTAATTGCTACATGATCATAATAAATGCTGATCATGTAGCAATTACCTTCACTATTAGCAAGTTGCTAAGGTTATTTCAAGTTACAGAATTGGACTGATTATTCTATGATTAAGCAATAAAATGAAAGGGAACAAATATTAATTATAAAAAGTGACCAACAAACAGGTGACTACAAGATAATTCGTCAAACTAGATATAAAGAACACTCCATTACAACCTTCAGTAGGTAGGTAAATGAATTATATTTCATGTCTCGACCTTCGAAGATCAAAGTGGTAGTCTCTCTCTTTCCTGCTTGAACCACGCGATTTAAAAAAAAAAGCGGGGGAACGCGTCCTCTCTCCCAGGGTACACACGCTTTATATTCACTTCTCTTTTTCGTGCGCTGCGAACCAGTCGCGCTTGTTTTGTGTGCAATATGGGAAAACATAAAAGAAAAAACGAGGAAGACTTCAAACAACTTAAGAAGCGTCTCAAGATTTTAGAAGGTCAGGTGAAAAAGAGGAAACGAGTTCTAGTTATGGCCTCCGATTCATCAGATCAAGGTAATTTTGTTTGTGCAGGCGGTTACTGAGTAACCTACCTATACATGCACGCCTTCGACTGATCGCCTTGCTGAAGTTAGGCGATGCTGCAGTTCTATATTTAGAACGGGCCTGATATTGTTTGAAACAGCTATCAGAGGGTTCGTGGAACCTATTAACCTTGTTGCTTTTGCACCATTCTGGTTGCATATACGAAATTATGTGATTGAATCACAATAATTTTGTTATAAAAGGAATTTTCATTTTTCGAGGTTACGTACGTGATACACGCACACTCGTAAATTATGTGATTGAATCACTACCTTTTAATGCTTTAAGTTTGGCTCTAATTTTGGTCTTTTGCTTTAGAGGATTCTGTTCATGATCATGGGGAAAATTTCCATACGGAATTAATTTCGAATGATCAAGAAAACGTTGATCCTCAATTATTATCTCTACTGGGAGAAAAATCTTGCACAATTTCGGATGTCGGTGAGGCGATTCACCCCGAATTGGTTCAAAGATGGGAAGACCTTATAAAATCTGGATTAAACGAAGAGTAATTAACGACCTGGTTACTAAATATCCTTTTCCGGAAAATTGTGTATTTATTAAACCGCCAGTACTTAACCCCGAAATAAAAGCCACAATTTCTGAGGCAGCTGTGGCTAGGGACTCTCGCTTGCTTAATAACCAGAAACAACTATGCGCTGCATGGATTGCTAACGCGAAGGTTCTTAACAAGATTTTAACCTCCGACAACATTCCAGTAGAATCAAGAATGTTTATGGCGGAGAATATTAGCAATTCATCACGGCTGTTATCGAACCAAATTTTTGTACAAACAAATATTCGACGATCTTTAGTTTCAAACCTACTGAACGAGAAACTTAAAGACACTCTTCAAAATTCAGTGTCCGACAACCTCTTATTTGGCAGTACTCTGATAGAGGATATAAAATGTGCCAAAGAAGTTCAGAAATCGAAATCTGACCTTCAAAAACCCCCCAAGGTGAGAGATAAAACAAAACATTTAAACTGGAAGGGTCCAGCTGCGAATTCTCAGAGAAGCTTTCCCCAGGCTGGACCAATGAGAACCAGGGTTGCTTCTCAAACCGAGAGATATCGGGATCTCCGAAAAATGGCCTTTCCTCAAAAGAAAATGGGCAGCAGACATCCATTTGTACGAGAGAAAAACCAAGACAAGACAAGACAGACTTATCAACGCAGGAGCAGATTTTATTAGAAAATGAGGTAAATTTACCTTTTGCTGGTAGACTGAAACATTTTATAGGTAACTGGCAAAATATTACTAATGACAAACGGATTTTGTCTTGGTTAAATGGGTATAAAATTCCTTTATTTGGAAATATTAAACAATCATGTCCTTTTAAAGTACCAAATTGGTCTACTCAACAAAAATCAAAGCTTCACGTTTGCATTTACGAAATGTTATCTTTGGGAGCGGTGTCGAAATGCTCGCCCCTGCAGGGCCAGTTTATTTCACCATTCTTTCTAACACCTAAACCAGATGGTTCGTTTAGGTTTATATTAAATTTAAAACATTTAAATTCATATATCAATAATGACCACTTTAAGCTAGAAGATTATAAAACGGCATTAAATTTGATTAACGAAGGGGATCATTTTATCAAACTAGACTTGGAGAAAGCTTACTTTCTCATACCGTTGGCCACTGAAAGTAAAAAATATGTAAGATTTGTTTTTGACGATGAACTTTTTCAATTTAATTGCCTCCCATTTGGACTGTGTACAGCTCCATATGTTTTACGAAACTGTTAAAACCAGTGTTGGCAAAATTAAGACTACAAAATTTATTGTCTGTAGTCTATTTAGATGACTTTTTATTGTTAGGTAGTTCTTCTGGAGAGTGCTTATCGAATTTTAAATTAACGTCTGCTTTACTCGAAAGTTTAGGGTTTGTAATAAATTTTAGCAAGAGCGATATCATTCCTAAAACAAAATGTACCTTTCTAGGATTTGTTTTTAATTCGTCAAATATGACTATTTATATTCCAGATATTAAGAAGCAAAATTTGAAGAAGTTAATTTCCTTATTTGTTAGTAAGAAGCAATGTAAGATTCGTGAATTTTCTACGCTTGTAGGAACACTAATATCAATTTGTCCAGCTATACGTTACTCTTGGCTTTTTACTAAAAGATTAGAAAGGGAAAAATTCCTTGCCTTAAAAGGAAATAATTATAACTTTGATAAAACAATGTCTTTAACTAAAGAGGTGAAAATTGATCTTCTGTGGTGGTTAAAAAACATTTCGGTTGGGTATAATCATATAAGAGATACGGAATACAAGTTAGAGATTTTTTCAGACGCCTCTAGGTCAGGCTGGGGAGCTGTTTCTAATAATAAAACTGTTCACGGGTTTTGGTCGGAAAAAGAACTTTCTCATCACATAAATTATTTAGAACTTTTGGCAGCCTTTCATGGACTGAAAAAGTTTGCTAAAAATTTTAAATTTTGTAATTGTCTATTAAGAATTGATAACACAACAGCGGTGGCATATATAAACAAAATGGGAAGCATTCAATATCCCCATTTAAACAAATTGACTCGTGAAATGTGGCTTTGGTGTAAACAAAGACACATTTTTATAAAGGCTGTATACATTAAATCAGCAGACAATGTTACCGCTGATCGTGAATCTAGAAGAGAAAACCCAAATATAGAGTTTATGTTAGCAGATTGGGCTTTTGAAGCAATTGTTGATAAATTAGGAACACCAGAAATCGATTTGTTTGCAAGCAAATCAAATAATAAATGTGTTAATTTTGTAACAATTACAACTGATGCTTTTACCATTTCATGGGAAAAAATATTTTTCTATATATTTCCCCCATTCTCAAATAGAGTTATTATTAGAATATTGCAAAAAATAAAAAAGGAAAAAGCAAGAGGCATTGTGGTAGTCCCACTTTGGCCAACACAAGAATGGTTCCCATTATTTCAATCTCTACTTGAGACAGCTCCAATGTATCTTGAAGCAGATACTAATTCTTTTCATTTTTCCAATCGGACGATTCACCCATTGGCAAAATCAACTACACTACTGGCCGCAACTTTGTCAGCAAGATTTTCGAAAACAGGAAAATACCAAAACCTTCAATTAACATTATGATTTCATCACTAAGTACAGCTACCATAAACCAATATTCAGTACATTGGAAAAACTGGGTATCTTTTTGTTGTGCACAGAAGACAACTCCATTTAACAACAAGGTTAACATGATCATAGAGTTTTTAACAAACATGTTTCATAATAATAGTTCATACACTTCTATTAACACAGCTAGATCGGCTATATCACTCATTACAGGAAACACACTTGGAGAACACGAGAATCTGAAAAGATTTATGAAAGGAATTCATAATCTAAGGCCAAGTAAACCTAAATATAATGACACATGGGACCCAAAGATAGTTCTCGAGCATTTGCAAACACTACATCCCAACGACAGTATCTCCTTAGAAATGTTATCATCAAAGTTAATAACCCTGATATTACTGTGCACAGGACACAGATTACAAACATGCTACCATATCAAATTAGATAATATAAAGTTTTCAGATCAAGGTGCTACCATTTACATTACAGATCGTATTAAAACTTCTGGACCAAAGAAAGTACAACCCATTTTAGTGTTACCGTATTTTAATGAAAATCCAAATTTATGTGTGGCAGGAACCTTAAAAAATTATATAGCACGAACAAAAGTTCTTAGAGGAAAAGAAAATCAACTCTTTATTTCTTTCAAACCACCACATAAAGCAGTAACGACTCAGTCTTTAAGTAGATGGGTAAAAATAATATTTGAAAAAAGTGGAATAAATTGTAAATATACACCATATAGCATAAGACATGCATCCACATCTTTAGCTAAAAGACAAGGAGTTCCTTTAGAGCTAATTAAAAAAGTGGCGGGCTGGTCACCAATCTCCACCACATTCTCAAAATTTTACGACAGACCTTTAGATAATAACGATAGATTTGCAAAAACCGTTTTGTCATCGCAAATGTAACCTTTTACTTATCGTAGATACTAAGTTTAGTTTTAGTTATAAAACTAGCGATATTGTCTTTGGTTAATTAGGGTAGGATTTTTCGTTGTGGAATCTTATTATCACACTTAATAAACGTTTTCTCATGTGTTTCTTGTATATAATAATAATAATAATAATCATATTTATTAAAAAAAAAAAAAATTTTTTTAGAACCTCATGGCATAGATTCAGCAAAACGCTGCTCTTCCATCTACACCATGACAAAACAGAGAATATTTGTACAGAGCAAAACAGCGAAAGAAAACAAAATTATTTTAGAATAACTACTTACTAAAGTATAGTGAAATGATGAATGAACAGATTGAAAGATAAAAGACAATACGAACAGGAATAATCAACAGTAACACGAAATCAAATTAAAGAGTGAAATAAAAGTTAAACAATTGTTTTTTGAACTGACGAGTTGGTAAACTCTTAAGAGGCGACGGCAATGCATTGTACATCACAGCAATGGTGTAGCTAAATGACCGCTCAAATAGTGCTGTTTTATGTTGAGGTATAGTTAGTAGCCCTCTATGCCTAAGATTTAAATTGTGAATGTCAGTCCTAAATCTGATCTTATTGTATAAGTATGGTGGCCGCTTATCGGAAATGATTTTATGAAATAAAACAGCATTTTGGAGATGCCGTCTACTCGTCATTGATAGCCAATTTGCGTCCTTTAACTTATGAGTAATGTGGTCATATTTAGAGATTTGTAGAGATATGTAGCGATTATTTCGGACATAAGCTTATGAACACAATTTTGCACACAAAAGTTAAAACAATTGTCTTATAAACTTTAAACAACTACCACTTTGATCTTCGAAGGTCGAGACATGAAATATAATTATAAGATCAAATGAACTTACCTGTGAAATTTGATCATAATTATATGAAGGTCTCGACCGAGAAGATCACTCCCACCCATCCCACACCCTAGGAAGCGACAATTGTTTTCCTTTGCATAAGTGAATATAAAGCGTGTGTACCCTGGGAGAGAGGACGCGTTCCCCCGCTTTTTGTTTTTAAATCGCGTGGTTCAAGCAGGAAAGAGAGAGACTACCACTTTGATCTTCGAAGGTCGAGACCTTCATATAATTATGATCAAATTTCACAGGTAAGTTCATTTGATCTTATAATTATAACTTAACCTAAAGAAATCACACATACAATAAAAAAAACAAGGAATACAAATAATTTTTACAGATAAAAAACTATCCTAATCAAAGTTCAGTCAATGAATAATTAACTTAACATAATTTAAATAAAGAAATCCCATGTGACTGCATTGATTACACTGCAAATAATTTTTACATTTGGTGTCAAACCTAATTTAAACAAACCTTGTAAAATCACTGCAGTGTATTCTTCCTTCTTGCAAATCGCTGTTGAGCAGCTCGAAACCAGTCAATGCCTGCATGCTCGATCACACCATCCTTTGCGTAAGGGAAAGAATCATGAACTGTTTCTATGGAATAAATATATGCCTTTATAAAATATAAATTTACAAGACCTTTTTCTCTTACCAATCAGAATTTTAATCAGTGCAAGGTTTTCAGTTCTATAATTTTGTTTTCGACCCTTCCAGGAACAAATTGTTGCCAGTTCAAAATCGAACATTTTAGAAAGCATTTTAAAAACAGAACTCCGCTCCGTAGATTCGACGAGGCGCTTCAAAATATGTTTCTTCAAAGAAATGGGACATTACCTACTTTTACTACAACTATTAGAGAAGCTTACCAATGCTGCCAATTGGGTCTCGTCTTTTAAAGTTTCTTCAAAATGTTCCAATTCTTCAACTGTTTTAAGGGGAAGTTCGATGGATAAAACTGGAATATCTTGTTGGAATGGTAAAATGTTTAATTTTTTTTCTATACCATTTAATTTATCTGTGTGACTTTGCAATAATAAATCACACTTTACCAATTGATCATTGATGCTTCGAAGTAAGTTGAACACTGTAAATAATACATGTGTACATATAGTTATTACTGGGAAAGCCATACCTGCTTGGTTCGATACCATACTATCTGCTGATGATGCGGGAGAGTCAACTTCGGCACTTGGATCTCTTCATGAGGCGGAATTATGACTACAGGTACATCCTCTAATGATATACCCGCCTCATCCAACTTATTCTGATTTGGAAGAGGTAATGGTGATAACGAATCTTGGTCCTCTTCGTAATGGAAATCACTGTCCCTTCTACTAGTGCAGAGTTCCCTTAGAGCCTTATTGTTTCTGTGTGTCACATTTTCTTCCACTTCAGATGAAGATTTATATTGCAATAATTTGGTTTCTTTTGCCTTGGCCTGTTCATAAGTATCTATATAATGTAAGCACAGAGTTGTATATTACATAAATGATTGAGAAAGTTTATTACCATAGTATCCCACGACCTGTACCGCTGTTACACTCCATAACTTATCGGGATTTCTTTTAAGCCGTAACGATTTTTGGTACTCCTTGCTTGTAGGATGGCTTAAGTAAGTTATAGTCTCCTTTTCATGAAGCCATTTTTTCAAAACAATTGTATATTGCTCTCCATCATCCGATACTGGTAAGTCATATACAATTGCATAACTATTTAACTAAAAAAATAAATTACATAAATGGATAAACATTGCTGGGTATTACATTTTTTAACTTTACATCTGGTGCAACAAAGGTAACACTTGAAAAAAATTTCCATCATGAGAAGGAACTTTAATGCACTTGCAAGCCACATCTTTATACGAAAATGTTTCTTCTACATCTAACATATAATTACATTCAATTGTACGTATCTTTAAGATACTAGGATACAGGTTGTCAATTTCAGAATTTTTTATTTTTCGTCCCTTGATCACTGTTGAACTTATAATATTAGTGATTTGCAGTATTTCATTGGATCTCAATAACACACAATTGTTTCTTAAACTAGTATCCAGTTGTATATCTTTCTCCATAAACAGGATATCGTTTTTTTCAGAATGCAATAGATATGGGTAAATAATTTTTGTTACAGGTGTGAAATTTTGTCTTTGTTCAAATACCCTATTGGAAATCTGTTGTAAGGGTTTACCAGAAATTTTCATTACGTTTTTAATTTCATGCAAATAATTCTCAAATGGAAAGGCGCTGAAATGATCCACACAACCAAATTTCTTTACATCGTCTACTAAATGGATAAGATTATGCACATTATATGTAATGTGTTCTTCACCAAAAAAATGTTTATAATTTTCTACGAAAAAAATTAGTAAGCTTTGTGGATAATCATAATCCTGGTGTGCCATTTTTGGTGATGCCAAGATTCGCATGGCAATATGCAAAGCCATAAAGTGTTTCAGCTGTGATTTTCTTAAATAAGGCTTTAAAATGGATGTTCCAGTGTACAACAGAAAAAAACGCAGTTCAGTAGCTTTCCAAAAATCAAGCTCTTGTAATGACCTAGGTAGCCTTGAAAACTCCACTGGAACATATTGTTTTATAGATTCAATATGTACGTCTATTAAACTCAATTCGGCCTGTTTAAGGCGTACATTAAAAAAGGTCCATATACGTAAAATTTAAGTACCCGTTTTAAAACGCCAATACAAACAAGATGCATATAATCTAAACCCACTTGTGTCACTAATCCAATATGTAACTCTTTTAATATAGTATCTCCCTTATGATAATCTTCATCCACCTTATTTTCAAATTCTTGGTCTGTACGTAGCTTCGCATCTACACACTGATATGTCATACGATTCTTAATAAAACTGCCTTCCACGTGGCATTTATTGCAACCAAAATATGCGTTGTGCCCTTTCACATTTAATATCAGTGCTTTTGCAGGTGCATCACAAATAATTATACTAACTGCAATTGTAGCCTTTATATCTCCCTCTGAAATTCCAGTTTCCTTCAACAACTTCATTTCTTTCACAAAATATTGTAAAAAGAGGTTACAGGACTCTGGTTTCTTTTTGCCGCAATAAACTCCTACTATTATAGGTTCATTAAATTCAACATTTATAATCGACACCAAAATTAGCCAAAATTGCACTGTGGAGCTTTTACTTAATGGCAATCCATCTATATTTAATTTTAATTGTAAGTCCATATTAAGTACAGATACACCATGCCTTTTAAGTGTGTGTAAGATACCCGATTTAACACCAAAATGCACGTATTTACCAGGAGGAACATCTTCAAATTTGAAAAATCCTGGTCTTGGTGTCCGCAGTAATGTTCGACCATCGTTTGGTAATTCAGGAATGCGAGGCTTTAAAATTGCTAAAAGTTTATTTACAGCAGATTGGGAAATGTGGTTTTCGATAGCCCAAATAGCAAGTTGTTGTTTTGTGGAGGTCTCGGTTGATCTACCAGTATGCACATTAATAATTGCATTTGTTTCGACATTTTGATCCCTATTATCAACTGCACCAGTCATGGTTATTGTGTGGTAGCCAGAAGTTGAAGGGATTGTTGGGGGGTCCACTTGCATAACAGAACATGATGCAATTGGAGAAGTTTGAACGTCAGTAGGTATTGCCTCCATAATATTACCCACTGCGCAGTTGGTTTCTATTAATTTAACATTAGAAGAGAAATTTTTTTCTAGACAATCTTTTTTCATGTTTTGTACGATACGCCTAAAGTGTCGTTTGGTTATGTTTCCCAAAGGCTTTCGCTTTACACCCTAGAATAAATCACAGTCTAGAATGAATCATAAAATTGGAAATTTAATCTGAAAATTTGTATATTTCATATCTAAATTTTTTCTAATTTTCTCTTTATTCATAGCGGCTTTCATCAGAAACTATTTGCAGCATTTTACAAAAAAAATCAAGATAAAAATTTGTATTTAGGCTTTATTTTATATTAAAAACACTTTTCTTTAATAAAATTTTTCCCTAAAATAATAAATACGCGAACTTGTCTCTTGAGAGGTTTTCATGTTTCCTTAATTTACGAACACCCTGTACGTTCAATCCAAAATCTTTGAACATCAATCTTATTCTTAAAACAAGAAAAACTTTGTATAGGTAATGAATAACTTTTTGTCGTAAAATCAATAATAAATATTTTTTTCCTGTTGTCAAGTCAATCCGGGGACATACTGTATGTAACACCCTGTACATGAAGTTTCATTTACATACCTTCATTAATAAGAAATTCGGCGTTGTGCATGCACACATCCAAATTTTCAAGGTTGTATTACGTTTTCTTTTATTTGAAGTGCAGACATTCAAAATTTCATTTAAATATCTTCATAAATAAGAGAGGCATTGCGCTAAATGTGCCATCTACAAAATCAATATGAGCGTTTACGCATTTAGTTATAAAACCTAACAGAAAAAATTAGTACAATAGGATATCCGCATTAAAACCAGAAAGCTTCAAAAATGGGCTTGACAGGCAAACGATTTGTTTAAAAATTGATAGGGTTCTTCTCATGAGGTAGAAATTATGGGTATGTCAAATTTGGTTTAGATCTGACTTACTGTCTGTCTTGTAGTGTTTACAAACAGACAGACAGACAAACATGACAAAAAATCAATACCATATTCTGTCAACTATGTTGTAAGCTGCCTTGTAAAAAAATGACAATTATAATACCCATACAGAGTCCCAACCAAAATTTGCACCCTTCTAAAACACTACACGACAAGCCCTATAATTAGCTTAATTTATTTCTCGGTATAAGTAATCGAACGATTGAAGAAATGGAAATACTGTTTTTTTTTTTTTTTTTTTTTTTTTTTTTTTTTTTTGAGGGCATTAACTGCTATGGTCATATTACCCCAATTAGGGCGCCCCCAAATCTCTCACTACACTTTAGATCTGTCTGTATATACCTATTTCTCTTAGAAAAACTTAGGGTACTTTTGCATTTATCGTTGCACAGAAGTTTCTCGACATATTCTCGATTTAAACTATGCAGCGCCCTTTCGTTGTTATACATGGGGCATTCCTGAATTATGTGCCGAATGGTTACAGCAGTCCCACATCGTTCGCACTGTCGGGCAATCTCACCCTTAAGAATGTGTTGGTGCGTTATCTGCGCATGCCCTATTCGCAGTCGGTGCATTTTTACATTTTTTCTCCCTAGTGGCCTGGTCTAACACATAGAGTTTCCGTACATCTGGTTTTATTCGGGTCAGGTGAGTGTTACTTTCAGCCCATTTTTGTTGCCACATTAACCGGTTTTTCTTTTTCAGGTATTCTCCTAAGTCCAACGGATGTATAAGGTTAACATCAATGTGATTACTTAACGCAGCCTGGCATGCAGCATGGTCTGCTTGATCGTTTCCAGGTATACCAATATGACTTGGTACCCATATAATAATAATTATAGCCTCTTTTCCATTTAAGAACTTGATAATGGACTGGCATCTTTTCGTCATCGCATCAACAGGATATATTTCAGAGATCCCATTCACTACTTCCATACAATCTGTGACGATGATAAAATTTTGTCTATCGCCGATGGAGCAATATAACAACGCCTGCCACAGCGCATATTGTTCGGCAAAGCGAATTGAGGACCACGAACATAAACTCCATTCATAGGACTCTTCTCCAATCACCATCGCACTTCCAACACCACTCTCCGTTCTAGACCCGTCAGTATAGATGATTTCATACGAAGGATATTCATTACATATATCTTGGAATTTCTGTATATAAGTGTTACTGTTTGTAGTTGACTTTTTGTATTTCGCAAGTTCCGTTCTTATTTCGACTGCAGGAGTCATCCACGGTGCAAACTCTTGTGTAGTGTTTTCCAGTATTTCCGGAAGAGCGATACCTTGCAATTGAATATCCTCATAAAACCTCACACTTGCTGGTCTAGTAATAGTAGGTCGCATTCTATAAGCATTTTTATCCACACTGAAAATTATGCTATTAGGGTAACGGGGTAATGACAGTAGTTTAGCCATGTAACAGTAAGTTAACTGTTTTCTTCTCGTATCAAGTGGTGAAATTCCAGATTCGCAATGTAAGCTGGCTACCGGACTCGTAGGAAATGCTCCTATACAATACCTTATAGCAGCATGCTGCACAGGATCTAATATTGTCAGTAACGTTTTACGTGCCGACGAATAGGCAATGCTACCATAATCCATTTGGGATCTTATGAGCGCTTGATAAATTCGAATAAGGCAGTTAGCATCTGCACCCCACTTGGTATGCGCTAATACTTTAAGTATGTTGAGACTGTTGACGCATTTAGTCTTCAAGTGCTCTAAATGAGTTCTCCAAGTAAGGGATCTATCAAACGTGAGACCAAGGAACTTAGCAGCTTCCGAGCATCTGATGTTATGGTTCGTCAGATATAGCACAGGATCATAGTGTGGCCTTCTTAACCTGCAAAAATGGACGCATTGTGTTTTTTCGTGTGAAAAACTTAAACCTATATTTTCGGCATTCCCAACAATTTGATTGATTACAGGTTGTAGTTTGCGAGTTATTTCTCCTACCGTTTTCCCTGATGTGAAGATGGCTATGTCGTCAACGTACATGCATTTAGAAATGTTTTCTGGTGTATTAGAGCATATGTCATTTATTGCTATAGCAAATAGAGTACAACTGAGAGTCGATCCCTGAGGAACTCCATTCTCCAAAAGCTTATCATCGGAGAACTTATCACCAACTCTTACACGGAAACGCCTGTTTGTTAGGAAGGACTTCACTAACAATGGTAAGTTACCTCTCAAGTTATATTGGTACATTTTTTCTATTATGCCATACCTCCATGTCATATCATACGCGCCCTTCACATCAAAGAAAACAGCCACCAGATGTTCTCTTTTGCGGAATGCCTCTTGTATGCAGTGCTCTAAAAGAATCAGATGGTCGGTGGTAGATCGGTGTTTCCTGAAACCAGCCTGATATGGCACTAGGAAGTTGTTTTTCTCCAAATACCACTGTAATCGATTATTTAGCATCCTCTCCATGATTTTACCCATGCAACACGTCAAACTGATTGGTCGATAACTAGTTGCAGACAATGGATTTTTTTTGGGTTTTAAGATTGGTATCACCACTGCTTCTTTCCATTCATCTGGGTAAGTACCCTCTGCCCATAATTTGTTATACAGATACAGTAACGATTCTTTCATTTCAGGCGTCAGATTCTTCAGCATCTCGTTTGCTATCTGGTCAGGTCCAGGTGCTGTGTTCCTGGCCTTTTGTAAAGCAAACTCCATCTCCAGCATTGTAAAAGGTAGGTTGTATACAAGATTATCGGATGTATAGAATGGTAGTTCAACCTCTCTTTGATTTTTTGTTTCAGAAAAGGTGGGGGGATAGTTTCCGGAGCTACTAACTACTGCAAACTGATTGGCCAAAGCGTTCGCGATTTCTTCTGGTTTTTCCAAGACTAGGTCTTGTGTTTGTAATGAATGTATACCTTGACTTTTATATTTGCCACATATGGATCTTATTTTTTTCCAGGTATCGCCCACATCAGCATTTGCATTGATAGTTGACGTATATTTAATCCAACTTTGACGCTTACTCTCAAATACGACTCGTCTGCTTATTGCTCTCGCTCGTTTGAAGTTGATATGGTTTTCAACGGTAGGTTGCCTTTGGTAGAGTCTAAATGCAACACTCTTGTTTCTGATGGCTACTTTTACATCCTGATTCCACCATGGAATGGGTCTCTTCACAGGCTTGTTTCCAGTCTTTGGTATGCTCTTCATCGCTGCAACCAATATAGTCTTGAATAACGAAGGGAAAATACTGTTGTGGAACGTAGGTAATGAAAACTTCTTCCAAATTAGTACGAGTCATTATAGTACCCCTAGCAGGAATTAAAGTTGTAAGAATTTATTATTGTTAGAGAAATCTGGTTCCCCCCCTCCATTATAAAATTGACCCCGTTTTAGATCTTCGTCAAAACATTTATTGCACAGTGTTTTAGGAAAGTGGAAATTTAATGGTTACTCTTTTCATAGTTTCATTTGGGTGTAGCCGAGGGTGTAGCTTTCTCAATACGCATAATTATGCTGCAAATTGCATCAAGGTTAGGGTAGAGGTATAGCTATTATATCTATCTTTCAGCAATTATACCGCTGATGGTAATACGACTAATACGTATATCGTTCGTTTACTTAAGGTAAGAGCGCTATAGTTGAAGTTTTTATAAAGCAACGATTCAAACTTGGTGGTTGTAAGTTCTGGAATAATTCCAGTTAAATACAAAAGCAAGTACAAATGAAAATAAGCTACACACCCACTGCACCCACCGACCTTATTTTTATGTCATAATTCAAAAATGGCAATAATAAAAACATACTTACCGACATGATATTATAATATACAATGAAGTATGCACTGCCCAAGTTGAAACAAATTCAAAAATAGTTCACTTTTACTAAAAAAAACGTCGTGCACCGCTTGTAAACAAATTGCAAACGGAAATGATTCATCAAGTTCAAGTCGATGCAAACCGGTCGCACTTGCCACTCTCCGCATG